ATCTGCTTCTGGAACTGGTGGTGGGGCACCGGGACCGCTTCCATAGTCTTCGAAGTGGTACACTTTGGTGGGGACACCACTACTGGGGTGGTATTCCACTTTGATATCGTCAATTTCGTGCTGGGGTGCAGGCGATGCTGTTCCAGATGGTGGCGGATCACCTGTATAGACATAAGTTGAAAACATGATGATACAAAGAAATGACGAAAACATACCATCAGAATCGGTCCGTCCCACATCAGCATCATGTTGGTAGTCCATTTGGTTATCAAAATCAAAATCATCACCCTCCAAGCGATTGTCGATAGCTTGCGTCAATGCACGACAGGTCAGTGTTGGTGATCGAGGACAAACGAAAGTGACGGCTTACAAGATGTTGAGCCACTAATGGAAGGACGGACACCAGCAAACACACTACCCTGATGTGCCTGTTCTTGCTCTACAATTAATTAACATTAGTGTAGAATCAAAATGATGCTAGTAATATAGTAATAGACGTACCTTGACGAATGACCCTAGCAAGCTCCAAATCCTCTCTTCTTTGTTCAGAGCGCCTCTGGCAAGCCTTTTCGTGTGTTCGGAATCCTTGGCGATGAAAGGATCGGCCACAATGATCACAGGATCATTGCAAATCGGCGGGCATCTAATATGATATTGAAACTGGGACACATCAGCGTCAGATTCATCAGAGACAGTGACGAGACTTACATGAATTGTTAGTGAAGATGGGTGCAAAATCACCTCTCAAGACAGCAGATGGTGTGGCACTTTGATTGCGAAGTGCTGGAGGGTGAAGTCGGGTATACAAAGCTTGCAGAATCTGAAATATGTAAGTGATTTGAATCAGCAGACTAATGACATTTAAAAGACGCAGATCTGCCAATGAAATTATACAAATCAGAACTGTAACAAGGAGAACAGACGATACTAACGAGGGCTGAAGTTGTTGGTGAAGGGGTGTTGAGAGGATGGTGCAGTATCTGAATTAACAGCTGGCTACAGCGTTGCAATTGACGTACCGAGGGTCTAGGTCCGGCATCAATATTACAAATCAGTTACAATGATGCAACTCTGGTATAAATATTCCTAATGGGTTTTAAGAATAGAACTTAAGTTTCAATATCGTGACTCGGTATCAATACGGTTGATACCGAGTCTCACAGGCACGCTGTTGCAACCGACTTACGAAATTTCCGACATGCGTACCAAACAACAACAAATACAGTTTTGTCTCTGCTTTCTATCATCGATGGGCTGAAACATTTTTTCTAGCACAACTACATGATGCTCGCTCTCTCGCTTTACATCATAAGTGACGATAAATTCATCCGCCTCCCTGCATGCGTCGCTATGCTGTTTCTGCATATGCACGTTCCTTCTCTGCCCGCCAATGCCATCGCTGACAAGTCATGCTAGTCATGCCTAACAGCTGTTGGGGAATATTGAAAGTGTATCTGGGTGCTCACGTACCCCGCTCGTTCTGAGGCTGGTGTCACTGGTATGTTGAATCATAGCACTGTGCATTTTCCAAACAATGCTCGCGGTCCAACTCGCCAGTGCCCACGATGCATATCTGTGCACGACGCGGACGCCCTCTCGAGTAATCGATTCCCAAATTACGGTTCCTACTTCTCTTCCTCGTCGTTATGCTATTGATAAGTGCTGTTATATTAGGTGAATTACACCATATATGAGACGGGCGAGATGCTGTGATACCAGGCTGATTGTGGGTGTTATCAGGGCATTCTCATTTGGCGGTCCTCGAGCATGCTGCGTTAATCGCCCCGTCTTTGCACACAGCCTAGTGATCAGGCATGTCTCAAGCCGTCGTTCTGGCATCGGTGGGTTGAGGGGATGCTGATGCACAGCCCGCCATCCGCACCTGGTTAACAGTGTGACAGTTCTGATTCGGTGCCATTCTATCTCTTTTCATCCACCTTCCTGGTTGATTTGCTGCTAACAAGCAGGTCAATCCAAGTGGTCGCGCCACGTGTTGTCCTGGCCCTAGCAAGTTCAGGTGTGATGTGAGCGTCTACACACGCGAAAAATACCCAACTCCCCGGCGTTCACGAAGCCCAACGCAGACACCCTCTCAAGTAACTCTCTGTTGACTCCAGGTCATCAGAAACTAGCATGCTCAGAGAACTATTGCCATCGACCACGATTAACTTGTACACCGTATATTTCTCTGTTCTGTCCCATTGCACTCACCCATGTCTGACCAGTCTCTTTGCAGAACGAATCAGGAGTTGCATCTTCTCTGTGAGAGTACTTGAGAGGCTGCATCCCAGTATCAGCGACTGCAGGAGACTAGATATATCGATTCATTGATAGTATAACAACGCCACAAGAAACAGGGTCCCATTCGCACAAGCCGAGAGCTCAATCGATGGCAAAGTTCATGCGGAGCGTTCTGCTAATGTCAGCGCTGCGGTCATAAGATTCTGCCCGTATGATTATACATCTCTGCCATCAGCATCATGTAGTGCCCTCAACGTGCGTCAGGCTTTGCAAAGTGGCCTTAGAGTGCGGGTCACAGGTGATGGTTGTTACACGCCAACGCTTTGATCACGCTCGACCTTTTATGAATAGATACTTTTTTATTTATTTTAGTATCGGTCTGAGAGAAATTCAAAGCTCGGAACACTGTGAATTCAACGGTGAAGGGATCAAAGCAAAAATGGTCGATGGCGAAAGGTTGTGAGTTGGCGAGTGGCGCCGGGGAGGTGAAAGTCTGGAATGAGAGAACGATTGAGACTATGAAATGAGGAAAGGTGGGCTACATGCTGGCTCTGTGCAATGTTCATGAGAATGATTCATGCATCTGCAGGAGTCCAAAGCGAATTAAACTGCCACGAAGAACGTTGAGTGTCAAGCGTCAAATACAACAGCATATCAAACATTTTTAGCCATTAAGATAACGCCCAAGCTTACAAGTACACAGAAAGACTGGCGGGTGGGAAATACTCAAGAGATTGACGCTCGAGCACGTGGATATGAAAAGGGCGACAGCCATGCTCTCATCAATATTGTAGAACTCTTCCCTCTCTATAGACTATCAGGGCCCGCTTGGTAATGTCAACTCTCTATCTAAAGTTCTGGCACGGAAGAACTGACGATCAGTTCTACTAGTAGCAAAGTACTCTCAAGCGCTAGAGTTGGGAATCTTCAAAACGACCATCAACGTCAGGCCTACAGCACACGAGGAGAGCTCACCGCGCCTGCAAACGCATCCAGAGAATACCTCTCCCGCGATTGACTACTCAACGATTTCGCTCGCAGAGACGCAGCCATGGCTTCTACATCGGCGAAGGCAACTGCCACAAAATCAATTCTTAAACCGGTAACGACTTTGAAGAGTCATGGACAGGACTTCGGCTTTGGATCCATATCATACTTTCCTGACGGCCAGCGAATGATCAGCACATGTCATGATGACACCGTTCGGCAATGGGATCTGAAGGCGGGTAGGGAGATTGAGGAAGCTCGGGATGTTTGGAAGAAGGAGGTATTGGCAGTTGCAGTATCAAGGGATGGTCGATGGGTTGTGACTGCAGGTGGAGATGACGACACCGGGGAACTGAAAGCCTGTGAAGTTGAGACGGGGATTGTAAAAGAATTCAAAGGCCACTCAAGGAGGATCGACTGTATTGATATCTCCGCGGACGGCACACTGCTGGCGAGTGGGGCCATGGATCGGACAGTACGGATATGGAGCTTGGACACCGGCCAACTCGTGGCCGGTCCATTTGACACTGCCATCGATGATTGGCTGGGCGCAGTTCGATTCTCGATGGATTCTAAGAAGCTCGCAATGAAGTTTGATAGCGGGACGTGCCTTGAGGTCTGGGATGTCCAAACACAGAAATTGGATGCCAGCCGCAGGAAAGAGATGGTGGAGGGTTACATAGTAAACTCGCATGCACCAATTTTCTGGACAAACAAAAACAAAAACATCTTGGCCCCATTCACCTTCACAGATGGCTATGCCGAGATGATCTACGAGTTCGACGCATCGACATTGGAGACTATCGGAACTCCCTTCGAAGGGCACACCAAGGTTGTCACCGGTCTAGCACTTTCATCCGACTGCACTCTCCTTGCTAGCACTTCAGACGACTACACCATCAAGCTCTGGGCCTTTGAGTCCCGCAAACTCCTCGCTTCCTTCGACGTTCAACATCATCGGACCCGTGCCCTTGTCCTCTCACCCGACTCGCGCCAACTTGGTTACATTCACAACGAGATCCACATATGCAACATTCCACCCGACATCCTTGCTCAGGCCCGTGTGCGCATTCCCCGCAAACATCTACTATCCGTGTGCTAACATTCCCTTACAGACCAGTCCACAAAGCAAGTCAACCACCGCTGATGTACTAAGAGTACGCACCTCATTTGTTTTCTCGTCACACTGCTCATCCATCACCATCATTGCAGTCTCATGCAACTCGTCGTCCTCCTGCTGTGCGCCGCAGACCACCAATACCTGCCATACCTATGTCGCAGAGACCACATTCTTCAATCAACCCGCAGCAACCAATTTTCCTGCGCCTCCGAAAACTTCTTCCCTTCTCTTCTCGCACGAATGCAGTTCCGGCTGTTCAGAACAGTCAGACTCGGGGTCCTGTAGATGTACGTCCCCTTTTCTTGCTCCTTTTTCAGTTGACTGGACACTCGTGCTTCAGTTCCGTGCTACATCGCCCTTGCCTCCCAATCGCCTTCACACAGAACGCTCTTCGTCAACTCCCTTGCCCAACGTCAGGTCCTTTTTTAATTCCATACGGTTCTCATCAGACAAGGGAAAGAAAACGGCGCGTGAACCAAAACGGAAACCTGTAGAAGTCGTCGATGTTCCTCTCGGACAAGCTACATACGTTCGTTATCTACAATTCTGTTGCGTTCGTGAGACCTGACCGTGTAATTTTCTAGGGCGATGTTGTTGGTGTGGACGACGGGAAAAGACAATATGTTGTCTTCTTCTGCCTTAGCTGGTTCCAGAAAAAGGAGAAGATGCAGGTTCCACGGCCAGTCTATGATGACGATCTCGACGATGACGATGACGAGGAGGAAGATATTCTCAATCGAGTCGCTATGCCTCATGCCAGGTATAATACACTTATTTATTCACTTCATTACTTACTAATGTAGTCTGGTAGGGCCCAGGACCAAGGGGTTGGATTAAAAACGGTGGCTAGCCAGCAACAACCGGGGGCAGGACCATCTCGCCTTGCGAAAAACGACAATATTCTCAATCGAGTCGCTGTACCTCATCCAAGGAGGTACAATACACTTACTCGTTCACTCAATTGTTCACTAATTCAATCTGGTAGGGTCCAGGATGAAGACATTGCATTGGAAACAGCTGCTGGTCAGTCACAACCAAGGGCAGGACCATCTCGCCTTGTGAACAATGTCGATATTCTCAATCGAGTCGCTGTGCCTCATCCCAGGTATTGTATACATATATGTTCACTCTTTTGCTCACTAATTCGATCTGGTAGGGTCCAGGACGAAGATAATGGATTGAAAACAGCGGCTAGCGGATCACAGCCGAGGGCAGGACCATCTCGCCATGTGAACAGTGTTGATATTCTCAATCGCGTCGCTGTGCGTCCCCACAGGTATCATAAACCTATTTGTTTACTCGCTTTCTTGCTCATTCAATCTGGTAGGGTCCAGCATGAAGAGATTGAATTGAAACCAATGGCTAGTCTATCTCAACCAGAGGCAGGACCATCTCGCCTTGTGATGATTGACGAACACCTAGAGGCACAGTCCTCTTAGTGAATACATCATTCATTGAGCATTTAATCTGTCGAGTCTCGCATTGTACCTGTAGCTTTTATAACATGTTTTGTCCTTACCTTCGTGTACCTACACCTGGCATTTCTTGGCTCTCAGATTGTGCTCAGCCGCCCTGCGATTATCCTCGCGGCCTGCTACACCTCAATACGTGGTATGTACAGGGACGGGTATTGTACAGGTATTGCCTATATGGACATGTTGTATTGCGCCCCCTACTGTCGATCAGCACGGTATTTAATGCACATTTCCTGACGTCAACAGCAGATGACCCGTTTGATTTCTCTTTCCATCATATTTTACGCCTTGTTCGTCCGAGAGCTGTTGAATGATTTCAATGCGGCTCTGACTAAAATGAAGGTTCATCAATGACGCAAGTTCTGGGGGAAATGTTAAATATATTGAAAGAATACTACAGTAGTCGTATGCGGTATGGCCCAGCTGCATGCGAGAGGTCCCGGCATGCACCTTCACTTACGTCCGTGTTTGGACACAGCAAGATATATTTGGGGAGTCGTTACGCTGTGCATAAACGTCAGCACCGAGCAAAGATTGACAATGAGACGGACTGAGTATTGTCAGCTGCATGCTGAAACAAGGAGATTCCCTTGAATGGTTAAGCCTAGGTTCTGAGATGGCTAGTCTCGGCCACACTAGAAAAAGACATCAACACGAAAAGAAGTCTAAAACGCGACAAAAAAATCAATCACACCACGGCGGCCTCCAATTGTTTCATCCAGTCGCCAGTGATACAGACAGACTGACCTTGGTAATATTCACTTTTCGTCAACTGGTGGATGTCGCGTTGACAAGCTGTATGTGGTGCACCATGCACAAGTCCTGTTATCGGTGTGCGCGAAATTCGATGGCAGACAGTATGCTGATGCCAAGAATTCGAAGTTGGAATGGATGGTGCTCATGTGCGTGAGTGGGACTTCAGAATGGGATGATCCAGGTTTGGGAGAGCGTGCATGTGGATGGGGTAGCCTTGTAAGCACTTAGTACTAGTAGCTGCTGATGCTGTTGAGGGCAGTGTGAGTGACTGACTTACTTTCGTGAATGCCTTTAATTACCTGTGTATTTCATCCTTGTGATCACGCTCAGGTAACCGCTGGAGATGAATACGCTCTTCTTCCATTTACGGCCACAGGACTATCCTGTCGGTGTGGACGGCCGAATCTGCACAGAAGTGCGCGCGTTATATATCTGTCTGTACCTTGGACCAGCCTTGGCACTCAAACAAACGAGAAACCTACTCACCGTGCATCTCCCATAATAGCACCACTCATCCGGAGGACCCATATCCACAATCCCTTCGACATTCCACACAGCAGCGGCATAGTGTCTCTCATACGCAGCACGATCAACGAGGGGTGCTAACCGACATGTAGGATGTGGCAAGACGTGCCAGTGTTTGGAAGTTCAAAGGAGGCGTGACAGCATACGCGATGGAGTTTTGGTGGCGGAGAAGGGGTATGGAAGGAATGGGTGTAGTACTTTTGGTATGGATATTGATATGGGGTGGAGGTGTGCGAGGGTATATGCGCGTAGCATTGGAGGAGGGATCGGGCATACGAGGTCGTACAGGGTGGATGTCATTTCCGTTACGTCGTCGGCGCCAGAATTAGTGGTGTGGGGGTGGGCGAGGGGGCTTATAGATACTAGCGAGTCAGTGTGAAAATTGGAGGGAGAGTTTGTATAATTGGGTGTTGTCACTTGTGATGAATGCGGCTTGCGAGTAAAGAACTATCGATGCTCACGTTGATCTGGATCAGAGTCTTTCTCGAGTTCAGTAATGAAAATTAAAATGAGCAGGCCTTGAGAAAGCCCGATCAATTATCTTCGAGGGCATCCAGGAATTGGACACTCTGGGGCCAAAGTCTGGGGCGGACTCTGGGGCCAGAGTCTGGGGCGCATGGTTGTTTCAGTCGGAGCTTTAATATGTTGCGGCTGACATACCACGTAAGCAAATGGACGGTGGTATTATGATGTCAGCCAGCGTGCCTCTCATCGATAATAGATAGTGCGACACCTCTATCAATGCCAGCGCCATCGATGTCGGCTGCAACCCCACCCGACATCAGTCAACTGTTTGCCTCGATACGAGAACATCCACCACTAGCCCACCTCTCATTCAACAACTTTGCCACCTTCCTTCGCCGTGCTAGCATACTCAAGGAGGACATCCTCCAACCACAGCCATATGACGTCTCTATCTTCTGCGCACCCAACGTTCTCCCACCAAGTGTGACGTGCTTCCTTGCGGCCTCTCTGGACATGCCGCCAGATGTAGTTGATGTCCTGTGGTCTTTCACAAAGGATATTGTGTGGGAGCTGCCAAGTAGCGCCGAGGCAAGCACAGACGATGAGGCTGCATTCAAGATCTATGGCCATGAGCTAGGACTCAGTAAGTTTTTGTTGCTTTTCTTAATCGTTCTGACACGACCAACAGCCAAACATGTCTTATACCCTCCCGTCAAGATTTGTATGAACCACGAGTGCATTGCATGGCAGCGTGGAACGCTGCTGAAGAAGGAAGAGCCACGTCGCATCGTTTTATTCACTCATGGTGAAGGGGCGAAGCCTGGCTGGACAGTACACCTGAGGTGCCGATGTAAGTCCATCGTACTCGCTGAAGCTCACCCTGATTGCTAACATTGATAAAGCTTGCAACACGAATTATCAGGCCAACTATAGCGTTAAAGGCACGCTTCGAACATACTACCAAGGGATACCGCAGTTCATTCAAGTCTCCGACCATCAGTTTGTCGAGCTGCAGCTTGCTATGCAGTGGATGGATTTGATGCAGATCACGTACGTCCCTCTGTTTGTTTCTCGTTCTGCTATTACTTGATAGTGGCTCCCTTTAGCGTTTCAGCCACCAATTGCGCCAGCCTGTATGCAGTTGCCCAGGCCCGTCGCGACCTTCGCAACGACGGCGCCGATCAGTGGCAATTTGGCAGTGCTCTGACGACAGAGCAAGTCTGGGACTGCTTCACGCTGCTCGCCCTGCTCGACGATCATCATCAACGGGACGAATCACTTGTTGTGGCTCACGACGGTGATCAAAAAAACCGGTTCACAAAGGCTATGTACGCACGCAACAATCGCATCATTCTGCGAGGTCAAGACGAGCTCCCCCACGCTTGCTTTGGATGCATGCGCATCTTCGAGTCACCAGATGGTGCGCTTCGCCGAACCGAAGTTATTGTCACTGATGGTGTGACGGTTGGACGCCCCTGCTGTGCTATCCCGTGGTGCAAAAACCCTCTCGACAACAATCGACATCGATATTGTGCAGAGCATTGTCGACTCGAGACCGTTTGTGCTGTCGATGGCTGTGATCAGCCTGTTGCAGTCAATACCGAGACAGGCAAGAATCGCAAGGCCTGCGACGATCCAGTCCATCTTCGCATGGAAGCCGCCAACAACGAATCGACGCACAGCGGGAAGACCAAAACCCAACGTCAAAAAATTGCGAAGTTGAACGATGCTATCGCCACCCACGTTTCTAACCTGCCCACTATTCCAACGGACGAGGACATCCCTCTTCAAGACGTCGAAGAATGGTACGAGCACGACAACGCCTCTGGTGCTATACGTTTTCGCCAGGCACCTATAACGACTTCGACTGGAGTCTCGGATCATCATGTCCCCTCAACGGATGTTGACGGGTGTAGCGCCAAGGACCTGCAACCCAAACTGAAGGCTATCTTCCGTCGTCAGCGCACAAACAACGAGCAGCTTGTTGTTCGGCCTTGTGGGATCATCTCCGGTCGTGGTACAATGTACCATCATGAGGCCGTCTCGAATGTGCTGGTAGGTTCGTCTCACTGTTGGAGGACTCATGCTCACTCGTCATCCTAAGATTATGGTCGAGAAAATGTTCTCCCTTCCGCGTGCACGTAAGCCACAACACATGATCTACGACTCCAACTGCAACGCGTTGCGTGAAGTTGAGAGTCGTAAAATCACATTCTTCGAGGGAATGGGAATGTGCGTTGACGCCTTCCATCACAAGACCAAGCATAAGGCTAGTGACGTGTTCTGTCGTGAGCGCTGTGACATGAGGGCCTACCCTGAGCTTGTTGACGAGGATGGGAAGTACTATTTTAACTCGTCGATCGCGGAGCAAACGAACGTTTGGTTTGGCGGTTTTCATAACATCTGTCGAGAGATGACACCAGTGAAGTATGATTTTTTTCTTGATGAGATGATCCTTCGTCGAAACCGTATGACTGTAGCAGCCCTTCACGTACAAGGAAAGCTTCCCCACCATCCACCTGTTATTCTATCTTGATGTAACTAGTACTCCAGCTCTTGTCTCATCACACATGGAAAAAACGCGCAGCATAGCATGACAGAACAAACAAATCAATTGGCAAGACAAATACACAAGTGAGTAGAAGATAGAGTATGTAGAACAAATCAAGGACCGGACAAATAAACGAGTGAGTAAAAGACAGAGGGAGTGAGGACAGGTGACTGAGTAACTACTTCCGCCCACTATGTTTCTTGCTCACCTCACCTAAGGCAAGGCGCCGCGCAGCAAGATAGTTTGACCACAGGCCATCCGGTGTCCGTCCCGCTCGCTTGTGCATCTCGAGGATGGTCATCTCCGTCTCGCGCCAAGCCTTCCGGTTCTGGTGATATGTTGCACGAACGAATGGGGCACCACCAAAGACAAGACTGAAAAGTTGTTCCTGACTATAGTGAACACGGAGGTTCACATTGTCCATCTGTTGAAAGCCTACAGTCATATCAAGTGTGTACATGGCGTGCGGCCAGCCTTGCCGCTTGGCAGGATTGTATACCGGAACATGCACAGGAATGATGGATGGTGGAGCGGGCTGCTGGATCTTCGAAGGGTGAGCTGGTTGCGATGTGGGCTTGGTGGTGACGAGCGGGGGTGTTGGCGACAACGAAGCAGCACGACGAGAGTCAAAATCATCTGCCTGGTGAGCCGGTTGCGATGTGGGCTTGGTGGTGATGAGCGGGGGTGTGGTGGTGATGAGCGGGGGTGTTGGTGATAATGAAGTAGCACGACGAGAGTCAAAATCATCTCCCTCGAGGTCTGCATAGGACTGTGATTGAGTTGGAAGATAAGGGGGTGTCAGCGACAGCGAAGTAGCACGACGATAGTTGAAATCATCTTCCTGCAGGTCGAAACGTGCTCGTGTTGGGGTGGGTGTCTCCTGCCCGGGGCTGGGATTCCAGCGGCGCTTGCCCAACGAGCGCTTTGGCGTGAGCTGCACGTCGTCCACAATCTCGACATCAGACGATGCTGTCTGCGGCTGCTTCTTCTTCCAGCGTACACCATCTCGCTCACCTTTGATGTTGAACCGTGCATGGGAGGGGCGATTCAAAAGCTTCGAGGACTTGAAGAGCCCATCGAAATCAGCGCACTCGGTGACACTGTGACGTCGGATGAATACGTGGCATCCTGAGTCGAGCGTGAACGTGTGCGTAAGCACTGATGGGATCCACCGCATAAAGCTCGCCTCAAAGACGTCGATCTTCTGGATATCGTCGCCAAGGGATTGAAGAAGGGTAGGATCATCCGAGAGCTGGTATTGAGGAAAGAAGGGGCAGTGCGTAACCCACTGCATGATTACTGGTGCATCGTCCTAAAAACTCGCATTGAGTACAGCTCAATCAAATAAAGACAGACGTACCGCATCAAACCAGTACAGCACAAACCGCTGTTTTGCCGCACGTTCCATCTCCTTGCGACGTTCAGAGACCATCTTGCTTGAGATTTCCTCCTGCGCGCGCGCGTTAAGATCACCAGCCCATAAAGGGTCAAGTTGATCTGTCACCCGAGGGGCCTTGGAAAGCTTATGTACCGGGAACGCTCGCGTAGTCAACACAGTGTCATCCCTCTGTTGAGGTGGGAAAAATGATGGTGGTGGTGTACATATGCGTGATGGTGTTTGCGTGGGAGATGGTGCAGGTAGCTGAGATGGGTTCGGAGCTGTGAGGAGGTCATGAAACGATGCAAAGGGAGCTGGATGTCCACCAGTGGCAGTCATTGATGCTTCGAGTGCCTGTTGAAGATCACGATATCCATAACCCGTTTCCGTGTCGTCGGTGTCAAAGACAGGTTCGCGAGTCTCAGCATCCTCGAGGTAAAACACACTATTGTCGTCCACTGGTTGTACGTCCACGCGCTGATTATGTGCCTCCATGCCATGAATCGGACATCCTCCACTGTCCGTGCAATGGCTGAGGCACATCCCTTGCGGACACCGCAGTGCACTGGCTCTGCGGCAAAAAGGGCCTATACATCGGCCCCCCCGCTTCCTCGGCTTCTTGTTATTCTGCTGAGGATGAGAAGAAGTCGAAGGTTGAGTGGAAGGGAATGTGGTTGAAAAGGCGTCACTCGAGGAGGTAGATGCTGTTGGCTGTGAACATGCAAGAGTCGGTGATCCATAAGGGATTAGCGCCATGATGTCAGGACGTGCCAGAAGCTGAGGGAAAAACTTGTAGAATGTGCAGGACCGGGAGCGATGCTGGCAAAATGGTCAACATGATACCCCCCGACGAACCCTCATGCCAGAGAGCACATACCATAGCCATGGGCTTGCCTTCATTGCCGTTCTTGTCACTGCGGCAGATAGTGATGGGGACAGAGCCACCACAGCTTTCACAGTCAGTGACGAGCCCGATAGCAGACTGGCGCAGTGCGAATCTGGACAGAAAGGCAAGATCCTTTTGCTGCAATGAAGACATGACGAGGCGGGCACGGGCGTGCAGTAAGAGGAGCGGGCGAGCAGGCAACACAGGAAGGGGGCAGATAAGAACGATGAGCAGGAAGGACAGCGGCGGGCATGGCATAACCATCAGGCATACTGGAGGCGGAGCATGAATACAGCATTCTAATGGCAGCTGCATGTGGGCGGGCAGCGGCAGGCGGGAGGCGGGAGGTGAGTGCATTGCAAGGCTCGTCATCGAGCGATGTTTGATGTTTAAACTCCGCTGGTCTCTGCCGGACTTGCCGATGGGCCCCAGACACTGGCCCCAGAGTCCGCCCCAGACTTTGGCCCCAGAGTGTCCAACTCCCTGACTTTCTGTTATCTTCACTGCCTGCAACCTGAACCTTGTCGGAAATTTCGTAAGTCGGTTGCAACAGCGTGCCTGTGAGACTCGGTATCAACCGTATTGATACCGAGTCACGATATTGAAACTTAAGTTCTATTCTTAAAACCCATTAGGAATATTTATACCAGAGTTGCATCATTGTAACTGATTTGTAATATTGATGCCGGACCTAGACCCTCGGTACGTCAATTGCAACGCTGTAGCCAGCTGTTAATTCAGATACTGCACCATCCTCTCAACACCCCTTCACCAACAACTTCAGCCCTCGTTAGTATCGTCTGTTCTCCTTGTTACAGTTCTGATTTGTATAATTTCATTGGCAGATCTGCGTCTTTTAAATGTCATTAGTCTGCTGATTCAAATCACTTACATATTTCAGATTCTGCAAGCTTTGTATACCCGACTTCACCCTCCAGCACTTCGCAATCAAAGTGCCACACCATCTGCTGTCTTGAGAGGTGATTTTACACCCATCTTCACTAACAATTCATGTAAGTCTCGTCACTGTCTCTGATGAATCTGACGCTGATGTGTCCCAGTTTCAATATCATATTAGATGCCCGCCGATTTGCAATGATCCTGTGATCATTGTGGCCGATCCTTTCATCGCCAAGGATTCCGAACACACGAAAAGGCTTGCCAGAGGCGCTCTGAACAAAGAAGAGAGGATTTGGAGCTTGCTAGGGTCATTCGTCAAGGTACGTCTATTACTATATTACTAGCATCATTTTGATTCTACACTAATGTTAATTAATTGTAGAGCAAGAACAGGCACATCAGGGTAGTGTGTTTGCTGGTGTCCGTCCTTCCATTAGTGGCTCAACATCTTGTAAGCCGTCACTTTCGTTTGTCCTCGATCACCAACACTGACCTGTCGTGCATTGACGCAAGCTATCGACAATCGCTTGGAGGGTGATGATTTTGATTTTGATAACCAAATGGACTACCAACATGATGCTGATGTGGGACGGACCGATTCTGATGGTATGTTTTCGTCATTTCTTTGTATCATCATGTTTTCAACTTATGTCTATACAGGTGATCCGCCACCATCTGGAACAGCATCGCCTGCACCCCAGCACGAAATTGACGATATCAAAGTGGAATACCACCCCAGTAGTGGTGTCCCCACCAAAGTGTACCACTTCGAAGACTATGGAAGCGGTCCCGGTGCCCCACCACCAGTTCCAGAAGCAGATCCTACGCCCTGGCAGCCGTTTCGCACACGTATCGACTTCGAGGTTGCAGAACTCGCTCACGACGCCGGACTCTCTCATGAACAGCTGGACCGGCTCATTCACCTCATTCACCGCAGCAGGATGGAGCTCTTTACCCTCAAGAATCGCAAAGATGTGAGAGACACGTGGGATGCAGCGTCATTCAAGATGACACCTGTGTGTACTATTCACTAACTTCGTATATACTATGCTTATTTTGCTTCTCTCATGTAATAGTTTACAAAGGTGGAGGTTACTGTGCCCTTCCGTGGTGTTAATCAAACATTCCCGCTATTTCATCGTTCACTGTGGGACTGGGTCACCGATTTACTTCAAGATCCACAAGTAGGCCCCAACTTCGTCTTCGATGCGCAAAGACTGTCAAAGTTCAATGGCGAGAAGTTCGTTCGGTTCATTCATGAACCATGGACCGCTAATGCGTTCTGGGAGTATCAGGTAGTCATTTTCTTATTAGTATCGCGTCCGCATTGTAGTATATACCATTGACTGATTCAGAATATCAATATAGTCCAAAATCCCACCAGACGCAAAACCTCTTGCATTCATTTTGTATGCCGACAAAGCAAAATTGTCGTCATTCGGTCGCGCGAAAGGTTACCCCGTAGTCGCTCGCTGTGCTAATCTTCCTATTACGATTCGCAATGGAGAAGGCTTGGGTGGAGGGCGCGTTGTTGGTTGGCTGCCTATCGTTCGCTCTACTCTTCCTTATAACTACTGATGATTTCATTATTAACACTCAGGACAGGTAAAGGAAGACAAGCAGCATTCTGGAAAACCTGCTTTCGTCAACTTCAAGAACGCAGTGTGGCACGCCTCGTTTCTGAAGATTCTCGAATGTCTGGGACCGCTATCCAGGTTTGGTTCCACCATCAAATGCTGGGACAATGTTATTCGCGCCTTCTATTCAATTGTACTAATACTATCTGCAGATTATGAAGAACAGTACGTGTATTCTAGTTCCAGTAACTATTATATATCTCTGACATCTAAATGTGTTCACTGTTGTAGGGCTGTAATGGCATTGATTCGTGGTTTAATGGGCAAATTTCCTTGTCCCGTCTGTCTAGTGCCTCGCGACGAACTTTCAAACACTCTCAAGGTATTTCCTCTCCGCACATGCACAGGAACTAAGGCATTGCTTGCTCGAGCGCGAGAATCTTCTACATTGGAGGCAAGAGAACAGATCTTGAGTTCCCAGAGCCTCCGCGATGTCGACGTGAGTCTCGCTCTTATCCTTATCTTTATCTTACTCAGTCTAATATTATTGTTTCGTTTTCAGAGTTCATTCGGCATTCTGGAGCACACCGACGTTCACAGGGCTCTATCGCACGACAAGCTCCACTTCAACGACGAGGGATTGTTCAGTGATCACACGTGGCCCGAACTGCAGAAATGGGTTGAACGTTTGGGTCGACAGGCCGCTGTCCAGATTGACACCTTGTGAGTCATTTTCCCGCTGTACTTATGTATTAATAGGTTTTAATTTATATTGTCAGCTTTCAATCAATTCCGCGTTGGCGAAACCTGAATCACTTCGATCAGGTTGTTTCAGTATCATTTTCCGATGGAACGAAATATGAAGACATCTCTAAGGTGAGTCTAGATCATTCATTTTAACATGTCATTCACATTGTTTTAGCTTATTGTATTTGCGGCACATAATGTATTTGACTGCGATACAGATCCAGAGGCATATCTCATGCTCCGCTGTATCCGAAGCTACACGGAGTTCAATATGTATGCTTCGTTAGAGGTTCATACTGAAGATACCATCAATAATGGCCGGGAAGCGTTGTCAAAATTCACTGGATTGATGGATGTACGTATTTTTAGTTCAATTCTAATTCATTGCATTGAAATCAATTGTTTGGTCAGAAATACATCGAGGACACGGCAGAGATGTCCGAGAAGTCCTGGAATTTCCCCAAGAAACACCTTTCGGCCCATCTCTTTGACGACATTGAGGCGAAAGGTGTTTCTCGAAACTACAGCACCAAGCCGAACGAAAAAATGCACGGCCCATTGAAAGATGCCTATCAAGATCGCACGAATTTCAAGAACTTCGCTGAACAGGTGAGTGACTTCTGAATCTGAGTTCGCATATATATGACTAACAATGAATTTTTTTAAGATCCTCCGATACAATCATGACAGCTTGATTGCGGAATACATCCGCAACAAGTTGGATCACCTCGACACTCAGAATATCAGCGTAGACCGACCCGAATCACCCGATACTACACTCCAGGAGACCGACAACTCAGATGACATTGATGTTGACTCGACGGAACCTACTGATGCCCAACATTTCACTCTCGGTTCAAAGCGGGCGGCAATGTCATTCACACTCATCGAGGCAGGTAGTCCGGGTAATCCAGTGTTTGATAGATTTCGAATCAAGCTAAACGACTTTCTGAACCATGCGTTTGCTGCCAACGGCATACCGTTTCCAGGTGGACGATGGATTCAACTCGTTGCGAGCGACATGGTGAGTTGATGATGTTCAACGCTCCGAAATAACATAATATCTGAGTCCTTTTGAATTAGATCGTGGAACATCAATTCCTTAGAGTCAATTTCGAGTCACTTGTCGACTGGCGAGTGTCCACGGACTACCTTCGATGCACTCCGATGTTCCATGGCTCACCGCAATACAATTGCGTCATCTTGCAGACCGACACTGGCATCATCTTTGGCAAACTAATGTTGATTTTCACATGCACAGTAGGGGATGTTCAATATCCTGTCACGCTTGTTCTCCCGTATGATCGACCGGTCGGCGTTCGTCCTCAAAAGGACAAAGACTTTCAGTTTTGGCGCGTTAAGACAAAGCCTAGGGCTTCCGCAGAGTTTTTTTCAGTTCACTCGATTATTCGGGGTTGTTTGATAGTAGAGGATGCCAGCAGACCTGGCGAGTTTCTAGTCGTTGACACTATTGACACTGATATGTTCCTTCGAATGCAGGACATCTGCAGCCAGTGATTGGTCCAGGATTCTTACTTCCTCCATTATCTCTGAATCCATATACATTTCGCTCATCTTTATCTCATCCATCGTTCCCTCAGTCATCGCTTTTTATGTGTCCGAGTCATCATCAACCCCACCAATTGCTTCACTCCTGCTCACCTTCCCCGTTGTGATCGCAGTTCCCCGTGTCATCCGCCGCATGCTCAAAATATCCAATTCGGACTCAGGTCTCGCCACAACATTTATTCCTCTGTTTCTCGCGCCACCTTTGATCATTGGCACAATGTTCTGGATGCTCGAATGGTGACCGTCAACAGTGCTCCCCTCTCAGGCGAGGCTCGTATAGCCCTAGGCAACACGAAGAAACCACCTCGAAAAGTTAGTAGCGCGTCTACTAGCTGAATTTCAGGCCTGCAACAGTCAACGGTGCTCCCTCTCAGGCGAGGCTCGTCGTGTCATCGAAGAAGAGGCACGTGTAGCCCATGCTGATAGACAGAGAGACGAGGCAGAAGCACGCAGGCGCGTTGTTCTCGAATCTTACGACGAACTCAGCAATATCTCGCCGCAATCGAATTCCTTAGAGATCCAGGTGGCCATCTCGTCTTGACACCCATCCCAAATCAAATCCAGCACTATCACAGCCCCTACTCTGCGAATCCTAGTATCACTGTAGAACCCCCACGTTTATACAATCAATCTCACCATCACTACACTTCATCCCTCAGTTCTGGTGCTCTCCCTCCAGCCCTCCCCGCTCCCCCCTCCACTCGTGGTGTCCGTCCTCGCTCAGGCAGCTTCAATGACACATCTTATCTCATTGCACCCCTCCAGCCACCTTCCAAACAACCTCGCAATGACCGTGGTGAATATGACCACAGGCCTCCACTCTCCGTAAGTTCCCTCTCATACTACCTTTTTATCTCCTCACATTCTCCAGGCTACATCACGCGGTCGCATTCCTGATATCGACCCCCTCCCCCAACAACTTCCTCAAATTCAACACCATAACCATCACCTTAGCATTCGCCCTACTCATAAATCTCACTCCTGATCCAGCAGCATCTAGTGTCCGTGCTACTTCACAGGACATCGAGGACCTCCTCCTTGACGCTGCCACTGATGAAAGGAGCGCTCTCAATGCCCGTGACCAACAGCCACAGTCTCCCCGTGCCGTGTTGGCTGCCCACTAGTCCAGGGGTATCCCAGTGGGTCCATTGGATCAACCTGGCGAGCTCAGGACCTATCAAACCCACATTTTTGCCCCTCCCGTCATGGGCGCCCCCCAAAAGAAGGGGAAACCAGGGTCAAGCGCAAATATCAGTGCGTGCATTTTTTAATGAACAGATCTCGAGTTGATGACATAGCACCAGCTCACAATGGCTCCCCACCAACACCTGGACCTCCTAACGCCTTCGTCCCTGCCATCGCACCAGCACCTCCACCCGCTATTCCTCCCCCACCAAAGATGAATGCAAGATATTTTCCTTCGCATTCACATGGCTTGCACTTCCTTGACTGGCGTCCTGGTTCTCTGTCTTGTTATTCCTCGTCTTGGATCTACGGCGACTCTCACTATTGATTATCGTCCAGTCGAATCTCAAATCTCTTTCTATCATCTAATGCAAATCATCGAATCGATCACCCCACGCTCCAATCATATGTTTTCATCCCATGCTCATCTTGCTGTCTGCAACTGTTGTTTTCGTGCTCTTTTGTTTCTTTTTCTTTTTTTTGTGTCCATGCGATTCATCGTTGTTCATCATTTCGTGCTATCTGTATTAATCCAAACTAGTATGTCTCGAGTCAGATCGGAACCGTGACCCTCCCTCTCCGCCTGTAATCGCTACCCTACAGACTTAGACTACTGACGATGAAGATCCTGGACGAAGACGACAGGGTGTGGTGTCATCTGGTGGGTGAAACATCCTCCATTTTATCACTCCCTAGTTGACACACACCTTTCAGCACAACACCTTCCTTCTCCCCACTCCGACCCCAACACAGATCCAGACGCAGACGGCAAAGGTGATGCGGATGTAGACGCAGAGTTGAGAGAAGCAGCTGATGCTGCTGCTGACCACCGCAGTGCGTCTTCAGCTGGCATGAAGGAGGAAGACATAGAAGTTAGAGAGTAAGCACAAGTCCATAACAGCCGAGACCGATTCGAGGAGCGTGACAATCCTCACCCCAGGTATCCCCCCCTGGTTCTCCGGTACCCCACATGCACTCGGCAGCATCGACAGAGCATTGACGCTTTCCCACTGCTCGGGGATCTTCGGGCCATCGCTTCGCCCGCTGTTTGGTGATAGCGACACCATTGGTTACCACATGGTGAGCTTCCTTTGATTTAAATGAACCCCCCTTCCTCACCATTTTGAATGGCATTGCCCCCAGGTATGGAGGATTGTACTGACATATTGTACCGGCACCTTCATCGCCAGGTATTCCAAAACACGAACCTACCTCTGTTCAATGTCGCTTCTGAATCACCTGGACCGGCTACAGACTATTAATACTAATACCAAGACTATCTATACCGTGCAGCATCATTACTTGGCCTGGCTTTATTTCGAGACTGTGCATCTGAATCATCCTACTACAATATTAATTACGTCCTACCAAAGCTAATCTTCATCTTCTGAATCATTCATACCTACTTGCCACCAAAGGTGCATTGTTAACATGATTATGTCAGCATTTAATCGTGTTTTCTCACTAAGTCCACTGGTTGAGTTCAACGTTCAATATTGCAACTTCTGAATCTTAATCTCAAACCAATTGGGACCACAATCCAAGCATATTTATTATCATGTCAAGCAAATGCAGGTGAGTCTGCATCATTAGTCTTCTAGGTCAAAACATGTTGAACCAATAGCACGACATCTGATTCAGAATCTTTCAGTTTTAAATATTACAGCGCTTATTAGACTGTTGTGTAATAACAGTCATCGGTCCCAATGGTGCATGCCGGCTCTCCAATACTTCTTGGCCATCAGCACTAGATAGTGCCACAAATGTAAGTTGCCTCGTGTCATATTATCATTCACCTGCATGCTGATTTCAATTTCAAGGCTATGCACGATGTAATTTCCCTCGTGTTTTCTTTCATCATGTTGTTCGGTCCAAGTTGCGCAGCAAATATTTTCGACTATAAATGGTGGGTCTGTCCGTCATTACTTTCCGTACTGTGTTGTACTTGACTGTACCAGTTCTTGTGATGCCTCAACGTCCCATTGCACATGATGACTCGGAGTCCGAGTTAGACTACAATGACATATCTGATTTGGACAATGCACCGGTGGCAGGGATCTCGTCAACCACCACTCAGTCATCGGCTTCTGTGCAGGGTGGAGACATGGAGGTAATGTTTATGCCTTGCTTCGCTCACATTTGGTGACTCTAATTTTGTGCATTTCTGTTAGATCATTCGAAGTCTGCAACTAGAAAACCAGTCACTTAAAAATAACAATAGGACTCTGGGCGAGAAGAACAAAATCTTGGCATCCAATCAACGTCGACGTTCGAGTGCGCAAGTTCCCGACGAGCTGAAGGCTTACGACGTTGAACTCTCAACCTTTGCTCACAAATATGGTGTCATTGCTGAGATGTTCCCACCCGAGCACCGTGTTCTCAGATTGCTCGTGCCAAACCCTCCGCCCATCATATCTGCTAGTCGCTACGCAAGCAAGAGTGCCGAAGAGCTTTGTCTTGTGACAGAGGTATTCACTTCTACCGGATCACCTCCATCGTTTCGTACCTACCTCTCATTTTCAATCATTGGTATGTTAGTTTATATATTTCATTGTGTGACCAAGCACTGATTGATATGATTGCAGCTAGAGCAG